TTCAAAAGAGGAACTTCCCACTGATGGGAGCCAGCTGCACCCCTGAAGCTGCCTCCACTTCTGTGTTTTCTTCTGTGTGTGGAACATGAACCACGGGTGGTACCCCAGCTGACTTGGGTGTTGCCTGGCCAGCGCATGACGTAACATCAAAACAGTGTGAGAAAGTCATTCCTTCTCAATTTTACTGTCACCTCTTCCAATGCCATTACAAAGAAAGACTCAGGGTGCTGCTGGAAGTCTTTCTCCTCTCCCTCTTGCTAATCTCCCCTTCTAGCAAGAAGACAGCAGGGCTTTAGGCTCTGAGCTTTAGTGTGACAACTGCAGCCAGTTTGAATTCAATGACACTGTTTTGTCTTTGATTTTTCTATTTATAGTAGTGACAGTTTCCTTTGTAAATATATTTAGATAGCAAAAAGGTGAATCTGTTTAACAAAAGTATTTAGAAACCACTTTGGGCTTTGGCAAAATGCTGAAGGTGGATTTATTCACAGCTTAAGTTTTGGAAACACTGAACTAATATTTGGCAAGACTTGATCCTCCTGGGGTTCAAAAGAAAAGCTTTGGGAACTGGTGAAGGAACCTCCAAGTAATAGTAACTTTATCTGTTGTCTGAGGCTACTGTCCCTTCTGATACCCTCAGTATCACATTGAAAGGTCCCATTTGTTTTAGGGTAGCACCTAACATGGCCAGCTTGACCACACTGGTCCTGAACATGACTTGGCAGCGGACAGACCCGGGTTTAAGTCTCAGCTTTGGAACCCCCTGGGGCTGCCATCTTAGGCAGATCATTTAACTTCTCCATTGCTTAGTTTCTTATCTATAAAATTAGGATGACAGTGGTCCCTACCTCATACCTCATGGGTTGTGGGAGGCTGGAAGGAGATAATACAGAAAGGACATAATATCTGATTAAAGATGTAATAAACTTAATAAATGGTTCCTGCTATGATTATCATTAGGATTATTAGCTACCGTTGTCAGTGAGTTGGAATAATTTTTTTTTCATAAATCGTGGAATGCCTGAGGAGAGCTCAGTCAGCACAAACTCCTCCTGGAGCTTGTTTGTCAGGTCACAGGCACGTCACACCGACCCTCCCTCCCCCATTTTTCCTGGGATGCTTGCCAAATCCTAAGCCAGGAAACCTTGTTATATTAATTATGAAGAAAAAGCATGTTTTATTTAAAATCCCGGCTGCCGAATATTCTGCCATGCTGTTTCTCTGTGACAGAATTGCTTTTGCATTTAGGAAACCTTAATGAATTTAAAATATAACTATATCTGTGCCTATATACACACGTGATTTCCTGCGACCCGATTTCCCTAAATACCAGTGTATACTGCCAAAGCTAATGAGCTGGACTAGTGCTTACAATGCATGTTTTAAAAAAAATCTGTAAGTCGCAGTGAAATACAGTCCCTCTTTTTTCCAAAGGGCTCTGTGTGGGTCACAGCAAGAGGGAGGGATATTCCTTTAGGCCTGAAAGAGACTGACATTCTGGAGTGTCAACGCTTTGAAAACGGTGTCTTGTATCCTTCTGTCACAGGCCTTGTTTGGTTTCAGGGTCCGTGCAGAATTAGAAGCTTGGATTAATCAGATGCTGAATCTAGTTAGTTGGCCATCCAAAATGGCTCTAATACTTTGATATCCGTAGTGTTTCTGAACAACAACCACACAAGCTTGTACTCTCTCTGTTAGTCTGTCGCTCTCGAAGATAGAATCAGGCAGGTCATATACATCCATCAAGCAGAAAGGGTGTCAACTGTAGAAAGTGGAGGGGCCTGTGGGGCCTACGGGGGCTTATTCTTATGATGATGGGAGTAATAGTCTCTCCCCTCCATGGTACTGTGCAGGAATGTGAACCTCATGTTACTGGAGTATCTGATTTTCAAGAAAAGCTGAGTATCCATATTGTTCTGTGAAATGTGCTGATTTTCAAATGTTACCAAGCAATTGCAAGGAATTGAAATACTCTGCAGGCTGGACTTTGACCCACCAAATAAAACACGGGCTGTGAACAGAATGCACCCCAAGCTGTCACTTTGCAAACTTTGGTCTATGCAAATATTTCCGAGGTTCTTTACTTGGGAGGATTCTAGAGTTCTAGAGTTCTTGCGTTTAAACTCTAAAGCCCAGAGATGGGGGAAAGAAAACAAGCATATTAACTGTAAGGTCCCTCGGGAGAGGAGAAGTCAGTATTTTCTCTCCTCTCTGGGGATAGGCCAAGATAAGCAGGACAGGCCTGACAGGCTTGTTCCTCTGGCTTCTGACTTCGGAAGAAGTCAAATTCTGTTAATGGCCAAGGCCAGTGTCCCCCAAAATCATCCTAAGAACCAGAGCAGGAAGAGATTTCTAAGTTCTGGAGAGAGAGCACGCCCTTCATACAGCCAAGCAGACCTCCTGCAAGGGGCAAGGAGTCGGACAGACTTGGGTCTCCATCCTGGTTGGGAAGTTAGTTTAACATCTCTGGGCTTGTTTCTCATCCATAAAACAGGGATTAACAATATGGGGCTGTGCTGGGGATAAGTGTTCAAAACTGAGAGGTAAGGAACGCCAAATCAAGGCCAGACCAGGGAGGCACTGTGATTGAATCCCTGGAGATCATTGCAACAGTATTTGAGCCACACTGCTCTGGATCATAGGTGTGGCTAAATAAAATCTAAGGTAAAGATCAAACCACAGAGAAGTTAGCATAAGGTTGGCTGCTTGCTCTGAATCCATGGGAGTATACAGGCATCTTTCCAATGAGTAGTGACCATATTTGCTGATTTTCTTGAAAGTTCCAGAGGTACCTGAGTCCATGACACTCCAACCAGCAAGCACAGAGCCCTAATCTAGGAGCCTCCTGTTCCGACAGGAAGGAGCAGGCCCTGAAGCTCCATGAGCTGAAGAAATCCCATCTTTAGCCAGGGGCCAGGCAATAGGCTGTCTGGACAGTGGACACCAGTCCATCCTCCCGAACTCAGTTCTGTCACTTCCCAGATGTATGACTTGAGCCCACTTATCTAGTACTTTATCTGTAAAATGGGAGCAATGACAGTACATACTTCCTAGAGTCCTGTCAGAGATGAACTGAGCCACTGAAAGTAGAGCCTGGCACACTAGACTTCTCATTAAATGGTAGCAGTTGGTTATTATCTTCAGCTACCTGGCTATGTGGCTCCTTCCCCCGATGATGCCTGGGACCCTCCAAAGCATCTGAGCAAGTTGGCCACTCTCCCCTGGATGTGTGTGTAGTAGCCTGTGGAACACAAGCAGCCTTCCCGACCACCTGTCTGGCACACATCTGGGGCAAGAAAACATACCAAAGCCCCAGATCCTCTCTGTGGAATTGACTAAGCTCATTGCCTGAAGGCTATCTCTCATATTTTCTCTTTTATCCATTATTGACTTATAATTTCATTGCTAACCCTACAAATTCACTGGGGCTTGCAAAAAAGGGATTTTGGGGGACCATCATCTTTCTGTGAACTTCAAACAGACTGCATCAGCTCTTCTCCTTGCCCACAAACTTTAGGATCTAATTCCTTCCGACTGGTTCTTTCTGTAGACCCCTCATGGGCCACTGATAATTTCCACCGCCTTTCTCTAGACTGTGTTATTTCTGCTGTGTCTCAGCCCCAGACAGCCAACGAGCAATCAAATGATGTAGGGACTTGATAATTTGTAATTGCAGCTATGCCACACATATACAAGTCATCATTGGAAGAGAAAATGCTTGCAGAGGTGAGTCACTTGGCAGCTTAATATGTGGCTATGGTAGATTCTGAGAATAGTTCACCGAAAGAGGAGGAGAAGCTGTTGTTTTTAATGCATCTAATCAGAAAACCTGGAATTTAATCTGCTTCCGACAGGAAAGCTCAATGGAGTAAAATGAGAAATAAAATGCAAAAGTATTTAACAAGATATGAAGGTTATGACTATTGCTTAAGTTCTCATTCTCTTCCTGTTCTTTAAACCCCCTTTTCAATGAAGGGGCACATGCACTGATTTTTAGAGAAGTCATGTTCATTCCGAAAATTTTAAGGGAAAAGAGCTAATGTTTATTGAAAGCCACATGCAATACTTTGTTTAATTGGTCTAATCAGTTCTTATCCTCCCCACATCTGTGAGATTATCACTTGGTTTGCAGTAGAAGAAATTTAGGCTCAGAGAGGTTAGGTTACTTGCCCAACATTTCACAGCTAGAAGGGGGCAAAACTGAGATTCAAACCCTGCCTCCCAAACCCACACTCAGCCTCAAACCGTATCTTGTATGGAATTCCAGGAGGTTCTGTTTCTGTTAAAAGCCCCCCTCACGTGCCCACAGAGATCCAGTGACCACTCTTGGACCACAGTGGCACACAGCAGCAGCCGACATCTCTACAGCTCACTCGCTTCCAATGCCTAGTGTCCCCACGCAAGTCCCTCTGATGGTACTTCCTTTCCCTGATCGTGATGGCCTCTCTCGGGTCCCTTGCTTGCCCTCTCTGCCCCATCCTCTAGGGTCCTTTGAAAAAGGAGGAAAAAGTATTACTCACAAATATGCTGCCCAAATCCAATCCATCTAAGTAAACCTGTTGCACAGATCAGTTGCAGCCAGCAGGAATCTCCTTTAGGGCAAATCACAGCGATTCTTACCCTAGTGTTGCCTGAAATGGCTGGAAAACTGGGTCTACGTGTCAGCACATACTAAGGGAGAATTTGTGGCTTTCACTGTCCTCTCAAAGGGGTCTTGAGATCCATGCCAGATCACAACCCATTGCCTTAGCAGATTTTCTCACCCCGGTCCCCTTCATTGGAAGCTGTTTCTGGAAACTGCTCCAAGAGGGCTCAAGTCCTTGGGCTGCTGTACAGCCGCCAATGTTACAGACCCTCATTAGTGTGGAACATAGGCAACTTGGCAACCCCAGCCCTTCACAACTACAGTTTCTCATCACTCTTGGCCTAGCTGGTTTGGTCCTACTAGCAACCTCAGAGTCTCTTGACTACAGATACTTGTGAGTGAAAAGAACACTTACCCCAATGGCTGTCTTTCCCACCAGAACCATGAGCAGTGGAACATGGAGAGACATTCTGGTAAACATCTTTGCCGTTTAAGGGCTCTTGTTTTGCTCTAAATACAATTTCTTTTGTTGTCTCTGCCTTTGGGGGGTAGAGGGGACAGCAGTCTCCAAAGATTCAAGAACAAATGAAGAGGATGCCAATTATTAACTAGGCATCAAATACTGTTTAATGTTTAATGCTTTGCAAACCAACTATCTTGATTAAACAAATGGTAACTTTGGAGCTGGGCTGAGTCATGAGTGGTTTCTTTTCAGGGAAGAAAATCTCTTAAGAAAGTGGCAGAGATAAAGAGCTCCCGGCCCCTGGGTGCACCCAGGGGGCTGCTTTACCTAACATCCCGCTCACAGGATGAGAGTGCTGGATCAGGTGAGGCCCCTGTCACAGGCCCTGGCCATTGCTGGTTTGGACAGAATGTTAAGAGAGCTCTGATTCATTCAATCTCAGACAGAATTAAGGCATGGATGGGCTCCTAATAACATCATGCTTTATATTCATGAAAGATAAGGGATGCACAACTGCTATTGATGAACATTGATTCGGGCCCTTTGAAGCATTGCCCATGGTTACTTATTGGCTTCAAAAGTTTTCTTTTAAATTTCATTATGTAAGTTTTTTACTTTTTATTTATTTTTTCCTTTCATTGGAGTCTTTCTTTGATCAAGAGGGGGAAGGCAAGCCACGATGCTTGTATCTGGGCCCAGTTGTTTCCATGTACCGTATTTAGCTCTACTGGTTGCAGGTAGGACTATATAAAGCGAGTTATCTATTAAGTATGGGCTTTCAAGGACGCAATTGATCTCTTTGGTAGGTGTGGTCTTGAGCTCCTATAAACACCTGATTGCCCACAGTAATCTATGCAATGGCTCCAGAAATCCTCCCTCCCGAGTCCTAAATCCGAGGTCTGAAACCCTGCAACCGACTGAGGCAGGTGCTCACCTGGGCCTCCTGCTCTCCCATCTGCCATCCCTGTTGAGCGCACGCACACTGCTCAGTGGCTGCTTCACCTTTGGAAGCCGGGGTGCTATCTCTGGCGGGCCCCACAGGTACTAGCCCCAGGGAAGGCCAGTCACTGCCCCAGTCACCAGATGGCCTTTGGAAGACAAACCAAATCCTGCCATTTTACCTCCTAAGTGACTCCCACTTTGGCTTCTTTTCTCCACTTATTTGTCTCCATCTCATCCCTGGTCAGTATCCACCTGATTCCTATGTGCTCACACTAGTCTCTTTTTCTGGAAAATTCTTCTGTGACCTCACTCAGTCCTTCCCTAATCCTAACTCTCTGCCTAACTTTAGTAACTCCACTTAGTTAACTCACCTAGCTAATGTGTCTTTCAGATCTCGGCCCAGAAATTACTTCCTCAGAAGGCCTGCCTGTGCTTTTCCTTCATAGCATATACCAAGGTCATAACGGTGCACCTGTATTGCTGTTTCATTAACAATTGTTCCTCCATTGCTTTGCGAGGCTGAAAGCTCAGAGGGCAGGTATTCTGTTTGCTCACCATTGAATTCCAGGCATTAATGCCTGACACTTGTCTGGCACGTGGTAGGTGCTCGATAAATATATCTTAAAAGAATAACCACTTTATTAAAGTGACAGCTGGATACTTTATAACCAGGACAATTAAGATAGCATAGCCAACTCGATGTGAAAAGAAAAATGGATGTGAAACATTGAAGTGGTTGTGAAATTTTAAACACATGTCAACTTATTCATGAATACGACATTCATATCCATTGAATATACGATGGTCTGCTGTGAGCTAGGTGTTGGCCATGCTGGCATGGAGGGGGCAGACACCAACTTCCCTCTTAAGGAGCACACAGCATGCTTTCTGTGAAGGGGAGACAGGTGGGCATTGAAAATGCAAACAAGCTAATCTTCGCTGGTGTTAAGTGTGAAATGAATGAAAAAAGGTAATGGAACAGAACTCTCTGGGAGTGGGAGGTTTCCATAGACTGGTAGGTGATGATGGTGGTGATGGTGGCTAAGTGGGTGTCTGGTGTGGTGCTGAGGACACGAAGATGGCTATCTGATCACAGAGGGAGGGTCAAAGAGGCAGCATGCACAAGGAACCTGCTGTTTGCCGGAGTTTTCGTAGCTTCTGTACAGTCAAAAGTAAAAATGGAAATTCTCAGGCAAGTGCATCACTCATGTGACTTAAGCACCTCTTTTCTCCCCTACAGCCTGGTGTCAGCTCCTGAGCTTCTGACTCAGGGGGAGAGATTCCCGGAAAACAAAGCAGAAGCTTTTCTACCTGTGTCAGCAGGAAGTGCCTGGGGTGAGTTTGATGTTCACCTTTTTACTCCAGGTTAATTTCCCTGGCATGTAATCTTCCCACTAACTCAGGCAAGAAGTGAACCGCTTGGCTCTTTGTGTGACGACCACAGGCCTCTCACATATTGTCTCTTATTTCCCTGAAGTTTGGTCATCACAACATTGTGAAGTTGAGGATGTTTCTGCATGTAGCCCTAATGGAGAGAGTTCTCTAAACGATGCTTAATCCTTTAAATTTAGGACAACAGGACTAGCTGATGATGTAATGTCTTTGTCAGGGAGTTGGAACAAACCTACCTGGGATCTCTGGTTTTAAAATTCAAACACAGAGCCGCTAGCCCCTCTCCCGGTGGGGTTTCATGGGGTTTCATATGGTACCAAGTCAGTCCATTCTGTGGGGCCGTTTTCTCACGAGTTGGGTTACATGCTGCTGGAGACAGCTCCTGTCCTGCCTGGGGTGGCCCTGGGACACCTATTCTTTGTGGGCTGACTCTTCCACCCAAGGAAAGACTTCTTCGCAATGCCCGTGCTGGAGACCCAGCCTCTGAGGTACCCGGTTAGGGATTGTTTTTATACCGCAACCACGGGTTGGGCCTGAATCAGCCTGCTGCATGTTTACTTGTAGTCCTCATTGCTTATACGCAACAGCAGTTCCTTCCTGCTAGGCCTTCGGTCAGTTGAGTGGTGTGGGGTGAGGTGGGGGCAGCATGGAGCAGCCTTAAGAACAGCAGCTGAGACTCAAAGCCACAGCCCTGCAGAGCGGCTGTGAGCCCATCACTTACTCTCTCTGGGTCTCAGTTTCCTCATCTGCAAAATAGAGATAATACAGTGCCTGCATTATGGTGTTACTGAGAAGTGTATGTGAGGTCATGAAGTTAAGGCACTTAGTGCAATGGCTGGCCCAGGGTCGGCTTTGCAAAACACACTGGCTTTGATACCAGTAAAGTGTTTCAGTGGGATGGTGCTTGCTGGGCCCCCAGACCCTCAGAGATGAAAGGGCCCTGTGCTCAGTGACTCTGGTCTCCAACCAGGGAAGGAATGACTGCCTTCTTGGGGGACTCTTTATCTTACTTGTTCTCACTGGGATGGGGGTCAGCAAACTATTTCAGAAAGGGCCAGATAATAACAATTTTAGTTTTTTCTGGCCACCCAGTTTCTGTTGTGACTACTCAACCCTGCCACTGTGAAAGCAGCCACAGATAATGCTTATGCCAGTGGCTGTGGCCTTGGCCCAGTAAGGCAGTATTTACAAAAAGAAAGCTGTAAGTTTGCGGTTCACTGTCCTAGGAGAAAACAATGCAGGTGCAGTGAAAACATTGCCTGACATGAAGGGGCCGCCAGAAAACAATGGGGACACACTAGAAACCATGGGAGGGGGCCTGGACCTAGGGGACCCAGCTGCCCTCAGAGGGCTTGCCCAGAAATTGTGCCCCCACTCCAGAATCCTCAACTTCTTTGTGGAGTGAGGGGGCTAAAGTTCATTTGTCATCAATTCCAGAAGTATTTGTTGGGCACCTACTATGTGGGAGACAGTACTGCAGGGAATAAAGAGGATAGACTGCGTACCAGTGGTGTTACCTTCTCATGATGACCCTCACTCAGAGTCACATGACTTAAAGTCATCTCTAATGGGAGGAAAGAAGGCGTCCTGTGGGGAAGTGTCACTGCTCTTCCTGTTCTTCCCAGAGGCCCCTGCCTGATCCATTGCCTTCCAGGGAGAACCCTCTTCAGGGGGAGAGGGAGCAGGGGAGAAGCTTGTTAACTTGGCATGGGGGTAACCTTTCCTCACTCAGACCCCAGAATGCTCAGGCCACTGTAAACTCATTAGTACTGTACATCTCATTCTCTTACCGGAAGACACTAGGAAGTCTCCCACCCATCCCCTGGGATTGTGAAAGGAAACCAGCAATCACAGACCACCTTCTCTGTTCCCATTACTTTTATAAATCTTAGCTCATATAGTCTTTATAAATACCCTGCAATGTGATTCGACCCATTTTACAGATGAAGAAACTGAGGCTCAGAGAGGGTACATACATTGTTCAAGGTCACACAGCTTGAGAGCAAGCTAGGTTTCAAGCTCTTCCCGCTCTACTGCAAAGACTCCATGGTACTGGGATAGTAGTTTACCATGAACTTCAAGCCACCTAAGAACTTACTGAAGAAAACAACATGTCTAAAGCGAAGATTGCCCACTGTCTGGCCAATTTCCATGTTCTCATCATCCTCCCTATTACTTACTATTAGGGGTGGCAGTTTGCCCAGTGTTTAGTAAAGAAATCGTGTCCTCCAGCAACAGATGGGTTTCCTGGGAAACAGCGATGTTGAGGTTTGTGGGCAGGAAGCTTAATGGGGAGTGTTCTTGGGATCAACACCCATGGGGGAACGAGGGAAGCAGTGCTGAGCAGAGGGAGAAGTTGGGCTGCGATGCAGTCACAACAGAGACCCATCCACTGGATATTTCTGGTGCTGAGATGGCCCTCAGTGTTGTCCTGCCATGACCCAATGCAGCTGGGCTTTTGTACTGGGGTCCACCTGTCACAGGCTATGGGCTATCCCCCCGGAAAGAGCTTGAGTTCAGGCAGGGCAACCCTGGCTAAGGGTGAGACTCAGAGAGGAACTCAGATAAGAGCCTTCAACAGCTGTTTGAGAGGAAGAGGGCCTCACTTGTGCAGAGGAGATCTGGGTCCTCACCACAGCACCCACTCCAGCTACTAACTAGACATTCATTCCTCATCCCCTAGCTCGAATACTCAATGAAGGACACTGGGACGACTCGGTCAGATTCTGGACGAGTATCCCTAGTTTGTTCTTGGTCCAAGCATTGTTAACTGGAGCCATGCACACAGCCAGGCTGATCCAGGTGCACAGGACAATTACAGCTGCTTATTTGGGGTAATCAATATCAAGGAGGAAACCAGAACGCTATTGTGGAAACCATAAAGTCTACACAGTTACTAAGCCAAGCTACAAATTTACATCTAAGCTCTCTGTTGGCCAAAGGAAGAAGGAAACCCTGATCGTTTGGCATGATTTTCATTTACTGAAGTCAGTTTTGCAGGAAAAATAGGGTTTTTTTTAAATCTATGGTCAACTACGGGTCTATTTTTGTTTTTAAAAAACCTTATGATCTGATGAGCACAGGTTGGAGTTAGGTAAACAGGATGGGGAAGCCCACGGACACACTGGGAATCTCTTGCCAAATTGAACCCTGGTCTTTGGTTACTCATTGGTGGTTCTGGCTTCTGTGATCTACAAGTTTGGAAAGATAGAAGGGCTGTCAATGCTGTTCAGCTTTGGAACTTGCAAATGCGGCACAGCCCCGTATGAATTAAACACTGCAGGATCTTCACACAATAATTGATCTGCCCATTTGTAGACTTTTCCTTTCTTTAATCTTTCAGTGCAGCTTCAATCTTCCCTCTTGCATTTTAAATTTCCTCTGTTCGGTGGTTGTTTATGGCAGAGTGTATTTTTTCCCGATCTCTCCCATCTCATTAATCAGTTCTACAGAAATACAAGCTCTTCCTCTTGGATCTTCAGCCTCACAAGGAGCCTACCGCCTGGACTGTGTGATGCTTCTTGTTCTAAGTGCATCTTTGATTTATTAAACATTTTGAATAAAATTCTGCTTACGTTTTGCATGTTGGAAAGCTTCCCCCCCCCTCCCTTTGATGTAATAGAAAATTTGAAAGAGAAGAGGGATCTTGAGATTTGGGTGTCCCTTTCTGTCTAGCCTTGTCGGCATTCTGAGTAGCTGTGATATTTTCAAAAGCCTTTTCTCTTTTGGAGAAGGCAGACCTCTGAGCACCTCTCTAAAATATACTACTTCTAGACATGGTCTGACACTGACATCTTTTCTAGGCACATTTGCTTCTTATCTCTAGGCTGTGGTGGCAAGAGCATGGGCTGGCATCAGAGCCAGTGGCAAAGCCATTTAGTTGCTGTGTGATCTTGAGCAAGTTTCTTAACCTCTCTGAGCCTGTCTCTAGTGTGTGGATTAAAAGATGACATGTGAAAGTGCCTGGTATGCAGTAAGTACTTCATGAGCATTAATTTATCTTTCTCCCTTTTCCCATTCCATTTCTTGTCTTATTTTTAATTTATTATGGAAACTATACATCTTTCTCCAAATTAACATGATCATCAACAAAGTAAGTTTTTATAAAAGGAGTTAGACAGGAGTAGAAACAACACACATTAACACACAACAGCTGTGTGATTTGTCTTCCTGGATCATGCATCTTTGACTCATCTTAGGAGGTTTCATTGAATTCTGGGGACTACGGCGTCCTAGATGCATAAGAGACTTCTCACTCTGCTGAGAGAAGCCCAAATAGGTGAACTGACAAACGTTTATGAGGCCAGATCCTTGTTGAGGCCAACTCTGAGCCACGCAGCATGCACAGAAGTCAGAGCAAGGCCCACTGGAAGAACGATAGGTGCAAAATGGGTTCCACTGGGGGTTAAAGGACAACCTATCGCTCACACTCCAGCTTCACGTTAAGTCAGTAAAACCAGTTGCCATGTTGGTAATTATTGCCTATCACCTAACATGTATTTCTTGTGAGTCCAGCACTGGGATTGGCTCTGTGGACAGAAATCGGAGGACAGACCACACCCACAGCCTCTACTTTCAGGACCCTCATACCCTATCTTGGGAAGGAGGCTTTAATTTCTTTATGACTCAGTTTCCTCATTTGGGACATGAGAACAGTATTAGTATGCACCTCATGAGGTTGTTACAACGATTATGATGTATAAAGTTCAAAGTATTTGGAATTGTGCCAGCATGTAGTGTGTGTTCTACGAGCATTTGTTAAATGACCCGGCCTGCGGGGCATCTGTGGTCGGCGCTCCAGTGTTACTCTCTGTAGCTGCACCAAGGGCCCAGTTAATTAGCATGAAGAATGTTAAAAGAAATAAATTAGTGTGGATAAAAATGAGTGATATTCAAGACAGATGATTGAGAGGACTGAGCAGGCACTTTTGCTCGGACATAAA